AACAGAGAAGACATGCTTGAAACTTTAATAATGTTTAAACTTTAAGAATAAACTCAAATTAAATGCAAATTAAGGCCCAGTTAAGTACCCAACAAACCTTTTCCTCCATAAAAGGCCTGGATTATCTGTAGCAGGTGACAAGGAGAGTAAGTCATGAAACGTAATCTCAAGCACAGGCCACAAAAGCCTCCTTTCCACTTTTAGTTCTTGGGACAAACTACTTGATAAATAAAGGATGTTCTAGAATTCTGATTTTTTTCACATCTTTTCAAAGATATTCTGTATTAAAATATCTTTGAAAAGCCCCGTTTCTATGGAAGTAATGTAGGGAGGAGGCAAGAGAACTAAAATGTTAAATCAAGCTATAGTCAGAGACTGCAATATGCTGATCATCCCCTCGGCCAGGCCAGGAGGAAACCAGAACAAAGGAAGATTTCTGCTGGGATTGCTAACAAACCGTTTACCCATACTGGGAAGGGAAAACAGGAAAACAGGCTTTAAGTCACACTCTCCACAAAATAAATCATTGATTCCCTACAGTTAAAACCTTGCAGAACCTATGGGTCAAAGGCTGGGAACGGCCAGCAGGCCTGTCACGCTACATATTCTTAGCTTTTCACCCTACATACTCTTATTCTTTCATACTGTATGTCCATACCATCAAAAGAAAATGGGTAAACAAAATCTTTAAACTGTAATTTATAGAAACTATGAATGATACATAAACCGAATTCCCTGAACACTCAGAGTCCCTTGCACAGTCTTTTTCTCTAGTCCTCTCTCTCCACCATGCCCACCCCCGTACCCGACCTGTGTGTCCTTCTGATCCTCTCTCAGGTTCTCTCCCTCTCTGCCTCCGTCTAGGGAGCGTTGCCCCTTCTCCAATAAACTTTCTTCTTGACTCTAACTCTGGCATGCGTTTGCGTTTGAATTCTTTCTTGCGCTCAGCCAAGAACTAACTAACTCTCTCTCTCTCTCTCTCTCTCTCTCTCTCTCTCTCTCTATCACTCTCTCTCTCTCTCTCTGTGTGTGTGTGTGTAGGACTCAAGCTCCCACCTGACCTTGACTCAGGGAATTGGCCCTGTCCTGCATCAGAAGAAGCTCTTGGAGAAGAAGCCGATTTGCCTTGGGGAAAAATCATCACCTGTTAGATAATATCATCCTTCTGAATTTCCGTAAATTTTTAGGAGGCAAAAATAACCAGAAGCTATATTCTTAATCTGGCAGCATGCATGATTTAAACAGACAATAAAGTCTTAACTGTTGGAAAATAAAAATTTAGCTTGGGTTCAGAAACTGACAAAAACCTATAGACTTCAGGATGATTGGCAGAAAAAGAAAATTAAGTCAGAACACTGCCCAAGTCAGTTTGCTACTGACCTCTTCCATTACAATTTTAAGCAGCATATACGAGAATTCATTTCATTGCAAAACACAGAATGGCAGAAATAGTACATGAAATGTCACTTCTCCTCGAGTCTTTTCCAGGTACTAGAAAGTATCTTGCCGAAAGTGGAAAGGGGCACGAGAACTAAATGTTAAATCAAACTGTATTGAGAGCCTGCAAGGAGCTGCTGCCTGACCACTGGAAATGAAAGAACAAAATTCTTGCTGGGATTTTTAACAAAAGATTTACCCATGCTGTGAAGGGAAAACAGAGCCTTTAAGTCATACCCTACACAAAATAAACACAGCTTTTCATTCCCTAGGCCAAAACCATGGGGAACCTATGGAACAAAGGCTAGGGATTGCCAGCAGGCTTTCTCGCTACATACCAACACCTTTCAAGCTGTATACCCATACTATCAAGTGAAAATAGGTAAACAAAGTCTTTAAACAGTTAATTCATAGAAACTAAGAATGATATATAAACTGAATTCCTCAAAAACTTGGGGTCGGTCTGTCTTGTCCTTTTTTGCTCCCGGTCTTTTCTCTCTGTCCCTCTCTGCTCTATCACTTTTTGTCTCTGAGAGGAGACTACGGTCTGTCTGGGAAGCGTTATCCCTTCTCCAATAAACTTTCCTTTTGACCCTAACTCTGGCATGCGCTTGAATTCTTCCCTGTGCTCAGTCAAGAACCCTCCCTCTCTAGGTGCAGGACTTCAATCTCCACTGGAGGTGGGAGGAGAGGGGGTCGGATTTGCCCTGTCCTGCATCGTTTGAAGGTTTTTGCCTTTGCCTTTTCCCACATTCAGGAAATTCATTCTCTTTATTTTAGAAGTGTCATCCAGCTTTTCTCGTTTTCTACCAATGCTATCCTCTCCTTCCTAGATGATTTCCCCTCACTTTTCCTCCCATCTCTTCTTATAAAGTCTTCTTAACCGCCATTATTTTTTTCACAAGTTTAAATACATCAAAATAAGTTAAATTATTTTGTTAATAATAAATATTATTTAGAAATAGGAAAGGCAAGAATAAGAATAGATTTGTAATAATAACGATAGGCCCACCTAGTGTCACAGATTCATCTTGTGATCTTGCTGCACTTATGACCAATCGTACAGTGATATGAATGAATCATTTACATGACTACAGTCTGGATCAACTGTGTCAAAGATTCGTTATTAGGGTTAAAATGATTTGTCTTTTCCACTGATAGTATACGTAGGTTTGAATTATGCTAGATAAAAATACCTTTCAGCCTTTCATCTTTCTCCTGGAATTGCCAATTAATTGTAGCTATTATGATCATTGATAGCCAATTTAAATCCTGTCATTTAAAAGGCTTAGTCTTTGCCCTTACTGCATTTGGAGACTGTATATAGCTCTGAAACAGAACTGTTAAAATATACTGATAAATAGCTACATTTACTACAATATTAAATTGAATAGATAGAGGCTGCTGCAACCAGTCATTTCTTACTGCAAACTGCAAGGAAGAATTTCTGTACTGGTTACATTAAAGATCAAATATTCCTCTGGCAGCCAGACTGAATGAGCCACTCCTTTACCAGTAAATCAGGTTAGAGTGAGCAACAGGGCAGCATTTAAAACAGGGATGACATACACTAAGCATCTTCAATTCCCTCCCCAGTTCCACCCCGTTATCCATAGCAAAGGCTGCCCATTAGTCCTGGCATTTTTAAATTCTTCCTAAAGCCTATATAAAACATATTCCTTCTCAATATTTCCTTGGGCAGCTGCTCCCAATTAACTAGATTTGCTTTATCATCATTGACTTAAGAGGGAATAACATAAATATTATGTATAAAGTCGTTTTTAAAGCACTGCCTCCTTGAGTCCAGCCATTTGCTACCGAGGCAGTGAGGTCATCTCCACCCTCAAATTGCATAACTCTGAATTATGCTAGATCAAACTTCCTTCCAGCCTGGCATCCTTCTACTCGCCAATTAATTGTAGCTATTATGATGATAATGATGATGATGATGTTTGGACATGATCAATCTCGTGAACATATATCAGGGTAGGAGTAGGAATGGCCTTATTCCTTAGAGGAACATCCACAACTTGTAATAATCCAAGGAGTCAATGTATCCTAAGAAGAAAGCCATTAGAAATAGAAAATCATTTTTAGCTCAGTACAGTACCATGCAAAATTAGTTTCAGAAATGAGTCAACAAGAAACCGAGTACATTTGCAAATATATTACTTTTACTATTCCAGGATAGTGGTTCTTTTCGTTTGAATTTCTCTCTGTTTTAGTCACAGGAAAATTGAGGGGAGGCGAGATTGTCAGGCAAAAGATCCCTGGAATATTCTTTGGAAACCTTTCCCAGTATTTATGTACACAATACTGGTTTTCAGTAATAGATTCACGTTTGTAAGTCTTGTATTACTTCTGTAATAGAAACAGACTTCATACACATGAATTATGATTTCTAAATAGTTTTAGATATCAAACCTAACATGGAAGCAATCCCAAATCACATGAGCTTTCTAACTTTATTAAAGGAAGGTCAAAATATGTTCATGGTATACATCCGTCAGTCAACAAACATTTATTGGTGCTTACCATGTGCCTAGAACTGTCAGGCACCAGGGATGATAATGAGCAAGTCTACCCAATTCCTGCCCTCAACAGAGCTTAACAATAGTAATGAAAGTTGTGCGACCTTTTCCCCCCTTTGTGTTACATAATATCTCAAACCAGAAATGTTTCAAATCTTTAGAAAGAAAGGAATTAAAATATATCCACCCCATTTTGTAGAAGGGATAGCTGACATTGAGAATATGAAATGATTTTTTTCCTACGCCACAGAAAGAGAGTTGGGTCAGTACAAACTCCCAGCTCTCACACTTTAGCTACTTTGTATTTTCACTGTCTTTGCCTGGTCTCTATCTTTGGCTTTGTTCTAGTCTACCAAAATATTTCAACTGTATAGGTACTGATTTTATAATCTGGACTACTGTTTCAGTGGATAAGACCTAAAAGAGACCTTACAGCATTTTCTAACAGACTCAGGCTCAAGTAAGAACTTTTATTTCTAAGGTAATAAAGATACCTCTATAGGAAATGATTTTTCTCTGATAAAAATACTGGTACTTCACCCATGTTCATAGTAGCATTATTCTCAATAGCCAAAAGGTAGAAGCAACCCAAATGCCCATCAACAGAAAATTGGATAAACAAAATATGGTATATACATGCAATGGAGTATTCAGATTTTAAAAGGAAGGAAATTTTGATACATGCTACAACATGGATGAACCTTGATGACACTATGCTAAGTGAAATAAGCCAGTCACAAAAAGACAAATACTATATGATTCCACTTATATGAGGTATCTAGAGTAGTAAATATTATAGAAACAGAAAGCAGAATGGTGGTTGCCAGCGGCTGGGGGGAGGGGGAAATAGAGAGTTGTTTAATGCGTTTAAAACATCTTCTGTTTTTCAAGATGAAAACATTCTTGAGATTGGTTGCTCAACAGTGTAAATATACTTAATACTGTTGAACAGTACATTTTAAAATGGTTACGATGGCAAATATGTGTATTATCATAACTTGAAATGAGCAAAAAAAAATTACTGGTACTTACCTCATTATGATAGTTTTACTTTTAAAAAAATTTTTCCTTATGGCTTCGATAATTGATAGGAACAGGCTCTCTTGACTCTATTAAGGGAAATCAAATAATTTTCTGTGACATTTTTAAATTTTAAAAAATACTTTAATGCCATTGTCTATAGGCTTCGAATTGTTTTTAGAAATTAAAAATTGCTATTCTGTGTTCTATCAAAAATGTAGCAGTTTAGGCGATGAGGTAGAGAATGTCTTCCTATAGGTTGGTGCTGAAACTGCTACATTTTTGTTTTCACCTTTCCCTTAAGTATCCAGAAGCAGAATAAGCTCGAATCCCTGCTATCTAATGTGTTCACACATTTGAAACCAAAACATATATGCCATATATGCAAAATCTCTGAACGCATTAACAATTTGCACTTGTATTCAAATTCTATTTGATTCAATATCTATTCAAATCGATTATTAAGTATCTATAGTGTTATCTACCATCACAACTCTTTTTTTCACTGAAGGCTCACAGGGCATTCAATTTGAAGTATCTAAAATAACCAAGGGGTCTAAAATAGGGGGCAGATAAATGCCAGGGTTGCAGATAAATGCCAGGGTTGATTACTGATGAATAACAGATGGCATCCTTCCTATTCCTTACTTACCATTGCCTGAAAAGAAATGGAACCCTGGCTGGAGATGAGCTTCTGCCCCTTAATTCTCTCGGCTTTCATTTCTCACAGTGCTCAATCACGTATCTAAGAAACCATTCCCCCCCGGCCATATAGTCTGCATAGTCAACCTAAAGGAATTCATTAGTAGGAGATGATCTAAACAAATATTAAACAGTTCAGAGTCGAAAGTCCATTTATTAGTTTTAAAATGTTCATTACTATATCTCTTTTATAATCTTATAAACCCATTTAATCTTGTAATATATAAAAGATTTAAGAATCTGATCAGAGTCTTTCAAGATATAGCATCTGATATGACCACCTGAATAGAGCTGAAGAATAATTTTTTATTTTCCAAAATCATGTTCTTTCACGATACAAGTTTTTAAAAGGGCAAAAGGATGGCTTACATATTGAAGACTCATTGTGCCATAGCTATCCCTCCTCTCTACACCAAGGGCATCTCTTGGGAACATCTTAAACATCACTCAGTTCTAAAGTCCTGAACAGATTTGCCTGTCGCTAACCATCTTTTCTCACATCAGCTTCTTCTTCCCATAAAATTTCTTCAGGGAAAGAACTTTGTCTTATTTGGCTTTGTAACCCACTTCCTTTTGCCGCTGCCCCCCAACCACTTCCTTCCGCCCCTCATCCCATGCCCAGCATTGAGCCTATCATATAGTAGACACTCATTAAATGACTGTTGAATGAATGAAAGTAGTTGTGATATGACAGCATATATTGGTTAACCTATATGGGACAAATATTTCAAGATGACAAAAGAAGTGAGACATAGTCAAACATTTTCCACTCCTAGAACTTTTGCTGATTTAAATAGTGTCCAGTTTATATATCCAATAAAATGCCTTCAGTATTGAAGTTGGTAATTATGCTGTGCAAGACTGAAACAGGCAAAGTGGCATTGCCACTTTTTGAAAGGAGAAGGCCCTCACAGGAATATCTATGTTATATCTTGGGGGTGGGGAGTGGGGAGGATTTGGGAGTCCCAGGAAACCAATATAACCGAAATTAAACTTTAATTTCTCCAACTTATTTTAAAACTATTTGAAAAAGGGTTTCTCCATAACCAACTGAGCAATTTCTCATTTATAGCAATATAGGATAAAATGAACAATTTATTTTCAAAGGCACAATACAGAAATATAGGCTTAAGTTGCAGCTGACCTTGAGTTAAGAGAACACTGGACATCAGTAGCTGAGATTTAATTATTTCTATATATCTTCTCCCCCATAAATTATACTATATTGAAATAAAGCAGTTTTGGATAAAAATATCAATTGTCATGGAAATATTTACCTATCTTTAGCCTCGTTTGCACCCAGTTAATGTTTCCGTAGAGTAAAATTCAAAGTCTATGGCTAATATAAAAGCTTCCTAAGAAACAAAAGTAAATGCTACTAATTGAAAATATTCCCACGTTTAAGTTAAAATACTAGTGAACTATATACTAAGAAAGGCAAAGACAAAACACTTTTTCCAGAACTTAATTTCTGGAATCCAGTTGTTTTTACATAGCAGTTTTAATTAACACGAGCATTCTTTATAAATGTGGAATTAGTATATTTTCCAAAATAAAACCATTGAATCACTTCCCCCCACACGCACAAAGTTCCGAGAGCGAGAGCAAAACATGCATCATCCTCATTGCAAAATTTTTTAACACGAGAGCATTTTGTTATTTCTTTACCTCGAGAGCAGAGATCGGCCGATTTATTTGCTTGCAGCTTGGTTATCATAAAACGGAAGGGGCGTATGGCCTGCTCATATGTTTGTTTGTTTGTTTAATTTTCTAAATCCAGCAGCGTGCATCCACCCTGCCTCATTCGCTGCATGGATAACTAGGAAAAAACGCCGCCCGCAAAGTGAGCGCCCGAAGCACAAGGAATGGTCCCCGGGTGGCCGCCTCCCGCTTTTCGCTGACGCTCCACTTCCTGTTAGACCAAAAGGCAGTTCCCAAGAAGCTCGGTTTTGTAGTTTCTAGCCCTCCTCCAAAAACCAGTCCTGCTTTGCTCCATTTCATCCCCAAGGTAACAACTTTAGTCATTCATGTGATGGGCCTGATCTTCCCCAAATCACTTTCCGGAAAGGCGTCCGAAGAAGTGTCCCAATAACCAAGGGTGACCAAAGGTGACCCAGGGTGCCGGGACAGGCCCGGTGGCTCGCCCCCTGCATTCCGGACGCCTTCGCGTCCCACTACCATTCCTCTTCTCTTGCACTTGAAATCGGCCGAGAGGAATTACAGCCGCGGCTGCGGCCCGGGGGACGACCTGTGTACGAACTCTAGATTTTTGGGATATCAGCGGGTTGATTATGGGGAAAAAAATGCATTAAGCAAACCTCCAAAAATGGCCTCGTGGGAGCTCCCTTTAAAGGGCTTCCACATTCCTTAGAGAGACATCTACGGATGGCCTTCTGCGGGGCTGTATCTTGTCAGACGCTGTTTTCGGGGGCGGGTGGGGTGGATCAGTAAAATTGGGGTGCTCACGGAGTACACCCGCCAAAACCATCACTCGCGCTCTCAGAGGAGAGGCTGCAAGAAAATACGTCGTCGCCTGGATTCTTAGGCTTTGCTACCCGATGCACCGGGATTAATAGTAATAGGGGAAATGGCGAAAGGGCAGGCGCTGGAAGCTAGCGTATCCGGGAACATCTGTGGTAGGAGGTCAGGGTGGGCGTGAGCTGGCGTTCAACCTCACAGTCACCCAGGATTTTCCCCTCTCAGGATTTTCTTCCTGAGTCCAGGTGGCGGTCCCTTAGGTTCCCAGGTACTGACAGCTACCCCATCCCGCCTCTCACATCAGCCGCACGGCTCCCTCCCAGCCGCGGCCACAAGCCCCGCCCCAGCGTGCAGGCCCCGCCCCCGGCCCCGCCTCCCCCCTTTCCCGTCCCAGGACGCGTTGCGCGGCCCGGGCCGGAAGTCCGCGAGTTCCCGGGCGTATGTCTGTGTCTGTGTCTGAGTCTCGAAGAGGCGCGCGGCCCGGGACTATCACTGCGGGTTCCCGCCTGAGGCGTCACCGCTGTTATCACCCACGGAGCCACTTCTAGAGGGGAGTAGACCCGGCTTTTCGCCGGGCATTGAAGATGTTGCCCCTGTCCATCAAGGACGATGAATACAAACCACCTAAGTTCAATCTGTTCGGCAAGATCTCGGGCTGGTTTAGGTGCGGGGTGCTGTGTTTGCGGGAAGTGGGTGTCCGGCACAAGGGAAGAAGGCCCAGACCTAAGGACGGCCCGAGGTCCAGGGAGGGAGCCTCGGGGACACCCTCTCGCTTTTGAGGAAAGGATCATGTGGACTGGGAGGGTTTTGAAAGGGGGATCCAGCCTTCGGGTCCTGGCACCCCTTTGACTCTCTCGACTCTTCCCCACTTGTGCCCTGCCCAGGTCTATCCTGTCGGACAAGACGTCTCGGAACCTGTTTTTCTTCCTGTGCCTGAACCTCTCTTTCGCTTTTGTTGAACTACTCTACGGCATTTGGAGCAACTGGTAACCAACGGGGAAAAGGGTTCGGGCGGAAGCAGGGGGTGGGGTATACGACACTTTGCTTAATGCCACGTAGCTTCTCACCAGGAGGTTTTTGCCTTTGCCACCACCTCTGCTGCTGAGTTGCTATCTCATATCCACACCAATCTGGCATGGCTACGTTTAAGATCCGGGGCCCATCATGTGGAGCAGTTAAGATTTGGGTCCCCGCCCCCACCACTCTGTCAGACAAGAGTGACAAGTCCCCTCCTCATTTTGGCAGAGAGTCTTTCATCCTTCACTACACGCCTTAGCTTTCCCACTTTGTTGGAATTGGGAGAAACCTGTTCCCTGCTTCCCCGTGGGGGAGTGTCTTTGCCTGTCTCTGGGGGAGTGGCGTTTGGTTTCACCCTTAAGATTCTGAGAGGGAATATCTGTGATGTTCTACTTAATTTGTCATTAGCTCTTGGAATAGGGAAGAGTTTATAAAGGGGATATCTGGAGAAATATGTGTCATTCTCTTCTCTCTTTAATTGTATGCCGAAACTCGATTTTCCTCTAGTCTTGCTTGACTGCAATAGAAAATCCTGTATAGTTTTCTAAAAGCTTATGTCTCTTGCGTTGATGGTTTTTGGTGTTACCTTTGTTTTTTTGTTGTTATTGTTTGCTTTTTAACTGCTTTGGGAAGAGGTAAACCCAGTTTAACTCTGGAAATGAAATACTATTATCTAGATGTTTGCTGTTCAATAACTTAAGATCATATAAAAACATTCAGCCAATGATAAGATCATCACACTTCCGGTGTACTGGATTGTAGTCAATCTCATATCCATTTGAGATGAAAGCCAACACTCATGATTTCAGATGAAACTTTGGAGTGTTCTTGGATTCCTTGAAATAGTTCTTGGACCCCAGATGAAGAGCCTATGCCATCTATGCTTTGTTTTCTATTAATTAAATAGACTTAGTTTCTGTCCTTTAAGGTCCATTTTCAGAAAAAGTTGCTGTCCTTGATCTTTATTTCTGTTGAAATTAAACAATGACATTACATAATATCACTAGTCTTTGTGACATGTATAGTTTTATATGAAAAAGTGAACTTTGCAATTCAAACATGAATTCAATTTTGTCAAGAATACACAGCAAATTATGAAGGTTATTGGTTTAGTCATAGCTTGGTCATAAAAGGTATATTGAAAATCACATCAATATATGTAATAACCATTTTGAATTCTCTGGGAATCAGATATATATATCGCATAATATTAAAACTCTTTAATGTATTATACATGTTAAATGCACTATACATTTGTCCCTTGAACAACATGCGTTTGAACTGCATGGATCCATTTCTATGTGGATTTCTTTCAATAAATATGACAGTACTGTACATGTATTTTCTCTTCCTTATGATTTGCTTAATTTTTCTTTTATCCAGCTTACTTTATTGTAAGAATACAGTATATAATACATATAACATACACAATATGTGTTGACTGTGTTATTAGTGAGACTTCTGGTCAACAGTAGGCTTTTAGTTAAGTTTTGGGGAGTCAAAAGCTATACTCAGATTTTCAAATGCTTGTAGGGGAAGGAGTCAGTGCCTCTCACCCCTAGTTTTTCAAGGGTCAACTCTGTTGTCTTAACTTGTATTGGAATAGTAATAATTTATTATAAATATACAATATATATTTTACATTTTACTCTTCCTAAATTATGCCATATTGTGGCATATATTCTGACTGTAGCAAGACTATCTTTGTTTGTTATATGAACATTTTTGCTATAGTTACTTTATGTTACAATACATTATATTTCACTATGGCCTACCATTGCATAAATTAGTATGTGAAATGTCTTGTTCAAGGGATTCATACTTGAAATATCTAGGCTACCTCTTTCATGGAAAGTTAGGTATATTGTAATTCTTTCGGTCTATAGAGATCTGTTGAGGAAATTGCTAAAACCACTGATTTCCAAGCCATTGTCAATATCAGTACAAAAGGAAATCATCATTGGTACATGACTTGTTCTTCTGTGGCTTTTTCTTAGGTGGCTTGTTCTGATCTTAGGCACTCTTCTCCAGTTTACTCTCTTTGATTGTGTTGTGGTATCTTCTGGATTTGAAATCTAGCTCCGAACCAGTGTTCGTTATACCTAGATCATTTAACAGGTATTCATCATTATGTTCACAATCAAATTCACATCCACTTATTCCCCTATATTAATTTTTATGAGTGGATTGTGAGTACAGATGTGTTCCTATTGAAGCCTTGGCAGATTTAGAGATTGCTTGGGCGTTTTCATGATCTGACTTTCTATGTCTCTTTAGATACTACAATTTTAGTTCCCTTTGTTGACTAATCAACAATTTCTCTTTTTTTATATTTTTATTTTTTTCAGTTATAGTTGATATACAATATTTCAGGTACACAACACAGTCATTAGACATTTATATAACTTACGAAGTGATCACCTCAATAAATTCAGTACCCATCTGACACTATACATAGTTATTATCATACTACCAACTGTATTCTCCATGCTATACTCTACATCCCCATGACTATTTTGTAACTACCAATTTGTACCTCTTAATCTCTTCCCCTCTTCACCCATACCCTTAATCACCCTGCCCATACTCAATCCGGAAACTATCAAAATGTTCTCTGTATCTATGAGCTTGTTTCTGTTGTTTGTTCATTTATCCTGTTCTCTAGATTCCACATGTAAGTGAAATCATATGGCATTTGTCTTTCTCTGTCTGACTTACTCCACTCAGCACAGTACCCTCTAGGTCCATTCATATTGTTGCAGGTAGCAAGATTTCATTCTTTTTTTATGGTTTTGTAATGTTCTGTTATATATATGCACCACCTCTTCTTTATCCATTCATTCACTGCTAAACACCCAGGTTGCCTCCATATCTTGGCTATTGTAAATAATGCTGCAGTGAACAGATGGATGTACATGTTCCTTTGAAGTAGTATTTTGGGGTTTTTTTGGATAAATACTCAGAAGTGGGATGAGTGAGTTCTTCTTTATCTCTTGTTATAGCCTTTGTTTCAAAGTGTATGTTGTTTGGTAAAAGTGTTGCTACCCCAGCTGTTTTTCTGTTTCTATTTTCATGAAATATTTTTTTCTATCTCTTTACTTTCAGTCTACATGTATCTTTTGATCTGAAGTGAGTTTTGTAGGCAGTATATGTAGGGATCTTGTTTTCTTATCCATTCAGTCACTATGTCTCTTCTTAAAGAAGTCACTTCAACATTTCTTGTAACACTGGTTTGCTGGTGATGAACTCCTTTAGCTTTTTCTTGTCTAGGAAGCTCTTTATTTGTTCTTCAATTCTAAACGATAGCTTTGCTGTGTAGAGTAATCTTGGTTTAGGTCCTTGCTTTTCATCTTTGAAATTTTCATGCCAGTCCCTTCTGGCCTGCAAAATTTCTGTTGAGTAATCAACTGACAGTCTTAAAGGAGCTCACTTTTAGGTAACTAACTGCTTCTCTCTTGATGCTTTTAATATTCTCTCTTTGTCTTTAACCTTTGGCATTTTAATTATGATGTGTCTTGGTGTGGGCCTCTTTGAGGTCATTTTGTTTGGGACTCTCTGTGTTTCATGGGCTTGAATCTCTATTTTCTTTGCCAGGTTACAGAAGTTTTCAATCATTATTTCTTCAAATAGGTTTTTAATTCCTTGCTCTTTCACTTCTCCTTATGGTACTCCTGTGATGCAAATGTTGGTACTCTTGATGTTGTCCCAGAGGCCCCTTAAACAATCCTCATTTTTTAAAATTCTTTTTTCTCGTTGCTGTTCTGATTGGGTGTTTTCTGCTACCTTATCTTCCAAATTGCTGATTCAGTTCTCTGCTTCACCTAATTTACTGTTATTTCCTCTAATATAGTCTTCATTTCAGTTGTTAGATTCTTCATTTCTGACTGGTTCTTTTTTATGTTTTTATCTTGATATTTCTGTCTCTATTTCTTTGTTAAAGTTCTCACTGAGATCATTGAGCATCCTTATAACCAGTTTTATGAACTCTGCATCTGATAGATCGCTTTTCTCTGTTTTGTTTATTTCTTTTTCTGGAGCTTTGTTCTGTTTTTTTCATTTTGGACATTCTCCATTTTGCCTGCCTCCCTGTGTTTGTTTCTATGTATTAGCAGGTAGAGCTGCTAAGTCTCCTGATCTTAGCAGACTGGCCTTATGTAATAGATGTCCTATGGGGCTCAGTGATATGGTCTCCCTGGTCACCTGAGCCAGGTGCTCTAGGCATACATCTCTTATGTGGGTGATCAACAGTTTCTTTATATGACTGGATTATCTCTGTTCCTGAAGGTTCAATTAGATTTTTAATTTCTTGAGTAAATTTTTCAACAAACTTATAGTTATTTCTGTGTTCATTTTTATTCTGTAAAAATTAAGTTTCAAGATGTTATGAACATGACGTCAAGAATTTATCAATTAAAAATTGATAAAACATACTCTCTTTACAAATAAAGATTCTTAGAAACAATTGATCTGATAGCAACAAATGTTAAATAGTTCTGATTCTTGTTCAGAGTCTTCATTTTAAAGGGAGAACTTAATTAAACTGACATATTTTTTATGGTAAGAATGTGTCATCAAGTGGAAGAATAGCTAAGCTCTTTGTATATTTTTCCCCCATTAAATGTCCATTGCCTTTTACCTTTCCACTAGAATGTAAGCTTTATTAAAGTAGAGATCTTCTGTCTTATTCAGGCATCTTATTACATAGTACATAATATGCTTACTACATATTTGCTGAATGAAAGAATGAAGGATAATTAATGTATGAATTAATCTACCTACACTGTTCTAGTTTTTCATTGTTGTTTGTTTTTTACTCCTTTTCTTCTTTGTGTTTTACTTTGGATAATTTCTTTTGACCTAACTAATTCTTTCTCTCTGTCCTATCTTCTCAGAAGTCCATATATATTATTCTTTATCTTCAATATTATAACTTTTTTAAAAAAGGTTTTGTTTCCATTTGATTCTTTTATAGTTTCTATCTCTGTGAGAAGTCATGAATTTTCTCTAGCTTATACCACATTCTTTATCATATTAATCATATTTATTTTAAAGTTCTTATAATAGTCCAAACTCTGGGCCTTTTCCGGTTCTGCTTTTGTTGATTGCTTTAGCTCTTGATAATGGGTCTTACTTTTTAATTTTTTTCTTTATCTTGTTATGTGTCTTATAAATATCTTGTTAAGTGCTGGATATTAAATTTAAAAGAATAATGGAGACCGATGTTAATGGTATTTATGCCCAGAAATATGCACACCTATTTTTTGTCAGGCCATTAGCGTGTGGGTTTGAACCTATCTGGTCAATAGTTGAGCTGGGTTTTGTGTTTTGTTATTGCTAGTTAATTTCAACAGGTCACAGATTTCAAATTTTCACAGTGGCTCCTACCACCTTGTGCTTAGTGTGGGACTTGAGTCCTGGAGGATACTTGCTCCACTGTCATCTTTCAGCAAACCCGCATACCTGTGCCACAGAGAATCTTTCTTGGTGGTCCTGCTTGGCTCTCAGCAATAGATTACTCTCGCCTTATACCTTAGTCAGGCTTTTCTTGGGGGAAAGGGAGCATTTAGTTTTCCTGTTGCAGCCTCACTACTATGTAGGCCCGTCATACCTGAGTACCAAAGTGGATATTAGTAATGTTCCTACACTTTCTCACCCCTCTCCCTAGCCTTGCATCATTGTATGATCCTGGGTCCAAGCTGGCTTCAGCCTTACCCCCAGCAACAGATGGCTTTGCTTCTCCCCCTGTCAGTGGTAGCTGGGCTTTTACTTGGGCAAGGGGTGTGTGGGTTTCCCTTTTAAACGTTTAAAAATTATCCTTAGTGTCTTCCTATATATCATATTTTGTTGTTGTCTTTTTAGAATATTAGTTCCTCATGAGCAGAGGCTGAATCTTTGATGTTTAGAGAAAGATGCCTACTCTTTTTGGTTATTCTCACATGCCAATGTGTTTGTTCTTTTGCAGCTTAGGCTTGATTTCCGACTCTTTTCACATGTTTTTCGATAGCACTGCCATTTTGGCTGGACTGGCAGCATCTGTTATTTCAAAATGGAGAGATAATGATGCTTTCTCTTATGGGTAAGACTTTAAAGAAAACACTTTTATTGAAATATAAGAAATGCAGAAAGATACACAAATCTCAAACTCAATGAATTTTCATAAAGTGAACACACTAGTGGAACTTGAACCCTTGAAACCCCCTCATGTCTTCTTCTAGTTCCTTCCTGCTCACCTCCCTAAGGGTAACTACTTTCCTAACTTCAGGGATCAGTTTTACCTGTTTTTGAACGCTATATAATTGGAATTCATAATATTTACTTTTTTTTTTTGCATCTAAGTTCTTCTGTTTAGAGGGCATCTTGATTTTACCAAAAATTTTTAGGTGAGATTGTTACTAGATAGGAGAATATCTCAACTTTTAACTATTTTTTTTAAAGAAGAAAAAGAAAAAGTTTTAATATATGTGAATAGGCATGTTTCTTTCTTTTTTTCTTTTTTGCAGGGATATTTTGCTATTTATTTAAAATCATTATGTCCTAATATAGTTTTATATTACGTATCCTCTTCAGCTTTGCTTTCATGTAAAACACTTCTCATACTCCTGCTGACTTGCGACAGTTAATCAAATATTTGGAGAGTGTTTTTGTGCTGAAGGGACTATGTTGAAACACCTGGCCTTATTTCTGAGCTTGAGGAAAGCGATGGAGTTTCTGACATTTGATTTACTCTGCCTGAGTGTTTTCTTTTTTAAGTTCATAGACTGTTAAGTTCAATAGTTGCCATGTAACTATTTTTATGTGTAAGCAGGGGTCAGAACTAATATCCTCTTTCTCTCACCACTTAGTCATTATCTTTCCCTCCGTGTTTCCCGCTCCCCTTCCCTCTTCCTTGTGAGTGCTTTCCCCTGTTCTCTCCCGTCTTCACTGTCTTTCCTCTTTTTCTCAACCTCTCACTCCTATTCCCTTCTTCATACTCATTTTCTCTCTCTCATCTCTCTGAAACTCCCTTCCCTGCTCTCTTGTTCTTTCTCTCTCTAGTTACTTGGGCCTGTGTTCTCTCTCTCCTTCTCCCGTCTCCCTTTCTCTTTTTCTCTCCCATTCCTCTCTCCCTCACAGCTTTTTTCTTATTACTTCTTTTCTCCTGCTCTCTGTCTCTCCGCTTTACCACTGTATCTCTCAGGCTCTTCCTTATTCTCCCTCTCCCTTAACCTCTTCAGCTGTAATTCTTTTTTCTCTTACTTTCCCAGTCTGTCTTTCCTTCCTTCAGTGATTAATATATGGTACTTGCCTTGGGGGAACTTGTCTGATGGGGAAACAGTTGTATAAAAAATACCATAACAACATTGTGATAAGTGCTATAAGAGAGATATTTGAAAATCTGTGACAACATTTGCTGATTTCGGGTATAACCAAATTCATAGGGTTGTAAAATTATAAAAAAAGAGACAAAAAACATTAATTATACTATTTTTATAATATAAAGCAAAAGATCCTGTATATCTATAAATCAAAACAGACTGAATGCTCAGAAAAGAATATTTTCCATGGCACTTTGGATCATTAAAGAAAGATTGTATGTGAAATTATAATTTTGTATTGTAAATTAATCATTCATTTGTATTGTATATGAAAAATCTAATTAGAATATCTTATTTAATAATCTTTCTGGATAAACAGTAGGTGACTATAAAAATTCCCCTTAGTTTCTTAATTCTTAGGGTATCTATTTTCTATTTAGAACATATAGTCTTCTATACACATATATATATTTAAACATTTTAATATATATTTTTAAATTATAGTTAACATACAATATTATATTAGTTTCAAGTGAACAACATAGTGATTAGACATTTATATAACTGACGAAGTGATCACCCTGGATATTTTTTAGGAGTATCTTTGAATACCTCCAATACCAGAGCAGATTTTACTATTCAGTTTTAACTGGTTGATTAAAGAGAGTAATATTCTTGCCACTTTTTATTTCTTATCCTGTCTTCTCCTTATTTGCCTTTTTAAAAGAATTTTTTGAGAAGAAAAACATTAGGGAATAAAAGCTGATGTAACATTTGAAATTGTTATAGGAGTAAGTAGAAATAGGAGTGAAATACGGTGCCAGCACATCAAAATGACACTGAGTAGGCTAAGCCTGCGGATTAATCTCAAAATCCTCAATTCAGTGTGATCACTATAGGAGACTGACTGCAGTAGAAGAAACAAAAGGAGGTATCTGAGAAACAGCAAAGACGTTTTAGTATTTCTTTATGTAAAAGTTGTCTTTTGTCACACCGTATTTTTGAAATAGCAAAGCCAACATAAAAGTAATATATATCGGACAGGTAGGTAGATGCATATGTACATGCTTATATACATATGTACAATAGACTTGTATCTTTTTTTGTCCTGACTGAAGAATTCAGATACTGTTGCTCTTAATTAGGCAATAGCACTTTCATACATTATGTTTTAATTCTAAGACTCACTCTATTCGAGTAAAAAGTCATTTATAAAGGCAAGTATGACTAGTTTTCACAGGTTTTTCATTTTAATCCTGCTATCAACTTTAGCAAAGATATTAAACCTAATTAAATCACTTTAGTCCAATAATTTATCAGAATTTGTGGAGCACCTACTCACACATTAGGGACCAAAAGGTGCCTGAAAAACATTCCTGCCTCTGATCTTGAAATCTAGTGGAATTCAAGGACAAAAGGCTTTCAATCAAGCATTAGCTTTGGGTCTAGAAGGATGAGTTAAAAGAAAGAACTTTTTTATTTGAGGGTCAGTAACTCTGATGATATATTAGATAAATTCCTAAGTGTGGGTTATGGAAAGCAGGCCGTGAATTCTTTGGATTTATTTTCTCAAGAAAAAAGTATATGCTTTGACAAGTAATAAGATAATTTAATTCATTTATATGTATTAGGAGGTAGAAATATGTATTATTTCTGAGTGTAGAAATGAATGTACCTGATAGGGCAAGCTCCAACATAATCAGATAGAGTACATTTTAGAGCTTGTTCTCTTTATAGTAAAAATTGTATTATCTAGAAATTAACATAAGACACTAGAAAAAGCAGTATTTTTGATACTCCTGTTACATTGTTTAAGGACCAGAGTGATTAACTGCTGTCAGCACCCTTTGAGTAATGTTTGGACATGTAAAACTTCCAGGTTAAAGTTGTTTCTAATGACTTTAAATAAGCCAAAAATACCTTATGGAAAAATAAAATCTTTCCCCAATGCCTCACACAGGTAGGAAGCAGAAAGCTTCAGAAGTCCATGGAGAAAAGGACAGGTATTTTTAAAATAGTTTAATTAGAATACATGAAGGTAGAATTGATTCTAAAAATAGATAATTGAAAAGTTTTTGCTAAATTTATTAATCTTAGAAAAAGCGATGGAAATATAAATCTCAAGTTGACTCTGAGATACTACAGAAATAATTTTATTTTCCTTCAGATCAAAGCTCCACTTTACGAAGATTTGAAAGTTGAAAGATACAAAGCAGAAAGCATAAGGAGTTCTTAGAAAAGAAGGAATTAATAAGTTACAAAACCCCCTTTTTAAGCTCTTCTACTTTTTATCTTTGGATCCTTTGCACATTTGTCTGGTCCTGTTGCTCCTTCTCCGGTGGCAACTTGAGGTTTACATTTCTGTGAAAGGTCTTTCTAAACCTACTTACTCTAAGAAGGTCTTTTGATTGACAAGTAGAAATTCATATATTTTATGGCATTCTGTTATTAAACATAATTCATAATTAAATTCATTTCTTTATTTTTATAATATATGTACAATAAAGCACTATTCTATAAATACTGGGACTTTGCTGGCTACTTATAACCAGATAATATGGTTTTGAATCTCTGAATGTATGTAAATTTATCATTGGGTTTCTAAGAAATAACTTAATAATTCAGTTGTTTACTTTGTTCTTCTTTAGGTATGTTAGAGCGGAAGTTCTGGCTGGCTTTGTCAATGGCCTATTTTTGATCTTCACTGCTTTTTTTATTTTCTCAGAAGGAGTTGAGGTATAGTAGATAATGACTAGAGTCAGTAAATTGAATTTCTGTAATGAAAATGTTTATTCACTGAAGATACATGTAATAGAGCTGTTTTTCACACTATTGAGTATTTACTGAGGACAGTCTTGGATTAGATCAAATATGTATGTACAGGAGGAGCTTACAAAATAGTCGAAAAATTATACGTGTAACTACTTGAAATTAAAAACAAATAATTGTGCATTACAAGGTATGAACGAAGTGTTGACACTATTCAAAGTAAAGGCGGAATATGGGAAGCGAAGTCTGTTGGGAAGAGCTCTTAGAATAGAATCCGAGAGTTTTACCAGTAAATCTTTAGTATTTGGTATATTAAAACAAATAAAGAAAATTTAAAAGTTAATAAACTTAAAAGGAACGGCAATATATTAAGACATCAAAGAAGAATAGATTTTAAACCAAAAATCCATGGTTTTACATATTTGTATTTATTTAAAAATAGTAATTGTTACCATTTCTATGGTATCTAAGTACTGGTTTTGTATTTATATTCTAGTTTATAGCAAATTTTTTTTGGTGTGATTTTAATTCTGAAAATAACTAAAAATTTTTTAAATTGTTCTTTGTTTTTACCAGTAGATCAATGAGAAGTTATATCAATGCAGTTTGTATTATGTGTTTTCTAGAGAGCACTAGCCCCTCCAGATGTACACCATGAGAGACTGCTTCTTGTTTCGATTCTTGGGTTTGTGGTAAACCTAATAGGAATATTTGTTTTCAAGCATGGAGGTCATGGACATTCTCATGGCTCTGGTATGATGGTTAGAAACTTTTGTTTCTTCATTTTCTGGTGTCTGTCATAGTTATTCACTTTGAAAATTGATAATTTTTAAAGTTAAACTGTATATTGATTTTTAATAACAAAAGTAATATGTTAATAGACTCATTAGTTTCTCCCTGATCCATCCCTTCCACTTCTCCATGCCTCTCCTTCTCAGTGCCTTCTCAGAGTTATATGTGTTATCAGTTTGGTGTGGATCCTTCTAGATCTCTGTAGGTCATCATCTGTTTACTATGATGCCATTTATATATAAATATACATTAAAAACCACAAAACAAATCTAGTTACTAAAAAAATTATAGTGTATGTGGCTATGAAATTTATTGTACAGTCTGTCTCTGAGATCCTTCCCTTTGGCGTATGTCGGTCTACCTTTTCTCGTTAACCAACACATAAAACCCCACGGTGTGGGGTGCCACGGTCTGTTTTGTCAGTCTTCTGTGGTAGATACACTTCAGGTTGCTTCAGGTTTTTCATGATTTCACGTGAAGCATGTCCTTGTGACACATGCAGTTTGTTTTCCAGAGCTGTGCTGATCTATGTGGTAGTCGTTAGTCGAAGGTGCTCTTTAATTATAATTAATTAAATTTAATAAAATTAAAAATTCAGTTTTTCAGTTACACTAACGACATTTCAAGTGCTCGGTAGCCACATGTAGGCTACCATATAGGACAGCAAGTGTAGAGCATTTCTGTCATCACAGTGAATTGCACTGTGCTGGAATATAAGTCGAATTGCTGGGACACAGGATATACAGTTTTAATTTTAGTAGACATTAGCAAATTGTCCTCCAGAATGACTGTCATTCACATTTACCCCAGCAATAAATGCAAGTACTAATTTCCCCCTCGCTACAAAACTTAATATTATGTGTTTAAAACCATTTTGCTTATATTTTGATAAAAATGGTATCTTACTTTATTTGGTATTTCTTTGACTGGTAGTGAGATTGAAAATCTTTCTGTATGTTTTTAGGCCATTTAAATGTTTTTCCTCAAAAAAGTGTCTGCTTTTTTCTTTTCTTTTTTTCCCTACTGTCTTTTTGTTAATCGATTTATAAGCATTTTTTATATATTTTGTATACTAATCCTCTGTTTTATATGTTGCAAATATCTTTTCCAGTCTTTGGCTTATCTTTAAACTTTTTTTTTTCTGTTCCCCACCTCCCTCATCACCACCGGTGTGCCTGCACCTAAACTTTTATATAGTGTTTTTTAATTTGCCTATAGTCTAGTTTTTCTGCCTTATATTTTTTTTTCTAGAATGTTTTTGCTTAGAGGAGTTTCTTATCCCTGGGACATAAACCTATTCTCTTATAATTTAATACTGTGAAAATTTTGGTTTGATGGTTTTTTCCTATCCATTTTGGTCCTTCATCTGTATGTAATTTGTTTTTGTGATGGGGAGTTAGAACTTAACTTTTTTTTTCCTCAGTGTGAATAAGCAGTTTTCTGAGCACCATTTATTAATCTGCCCTTTACCCCATTGATGTAAAAGGATACTTTTACCCTATATTGAATTGCCTTATATATCAGGTCTAGTCTGTTTCTCTTTGGCTGTCCCACTATCACAATGAAACAGTCGTTATGAACTTTATGATTTAATATCTACTCGGTTAAGTCTTGTCTGTTTTTTTCCCAAAGTTTTTTGCACCTAACTTGCTTATTTGTTTTTCATCAGTTTATCAACTCTTATGAAAACATCTTGTTGGGATTTTGACTGGGAATGTATTGTCTTTTTGTTTAATTATGGAAAACTGACATAGCTTACATTAAATTTCATATTCATATTAAATTTCATGTCTTTTATTAAGTTATCTTAGGCATTTTAATAAATACGTTTATATTTTTCATTTGGTTCATTTTTAGGTAGTTGAAAGTTTTTATTACCTTTAAGAATGAAAACCATTATTCCTGCTTGTCTTATTGCATAGCCAGGACCTCTAGCACAGTGTTGATTAGAAATACTTATAGCTTGTATCCTTGTGTCAATCTGTTTTAAGAAAACACTAATGCCCAGGTTTAATCCCAGGACATTTACATCAGAATCTCTGGAGGAAGAGACCCAGTTTGTTTCAAAGCTCTCCAGTCAACTTTTATGTGCCGGCAAGGTTGAGAACCATTGCTTTCATGAAGAATGCCACTAAAGTTTTACCATTGAGTCTGATGTTTATGGTCTGTTTCTGATAAAACTGTTTTATCAACTAAAGGATATTCCTGCATATGTTGAAGTAATCATTTTTTTCCTTTTTAGTTGATTTAAAATTAGTAATTACATTGATAGATTTTTCTCATGAAGAACCATCCTTAAATTTTGGGGTTAAAATGTATTTATTTAAGTCTATATTTAGGTCTGTGATCCATTTTGAGCCAGTTTTTGTATGGTGTGAGGTATGGGTCCAGTATCATTTTCTTGTATGTAGGTATCCAGTTGTCTCAGCACCATTTGTTAAAAAGATCATTTTTCCCCATTGAATTATCTTGGCACCTTTGTCAACAATCAGTTGACTATAAATGTGAGGGTTCAGTTCTGGACTCTTAAGTTCTTTTTCATTGATCTGTAAATTTGTCCTCACGCCAGCACCATGCTGTCTTGATTAACGTAACTTTGAGGTAAGTTTTGAAATCAGAATATGTGAATTTTCCAACTATATTCTTCTTTTTAAAGGTTGTTTTGGCTATTCTGGTTCTCTTCTTGTGTTTCCATATAAATTGTAAGACCTGCTTGTTTCTGCTTTATTTTTTTCCTGTACTACATAGTAGGACTTCAGTATTGTTTTAATGAATCTACAACAGTTTTTTCAAGTAAATATTTATTGAATTGAATATGGTTTTAGAGCTAATTCTTTTCACTAATGTCAGTATTATAATCATTACGTAATGTATTATTATATACCTTTTGTTCTAACACTGTTTTTAGGCCATGGACACAGCCATTCCCTCTTTAATGGTGCTCTGGATCAGGCCCATGGCCATGGAGATCATTGCCATAGTCACGAATTGAAACATGGTGCTGCGCATAGTCATGATCATGCTCATGGACACGGACACGGTCACTTCCATTCCCATGGTGAGTGTAGCCTATAGCCTTTCCAGTGGACAGCCTTCCAAACAAACAAATTGTGCAGATTCCTTTTCCTAGTTGAAAGAATCTGTTAAAAGTATTGCAGTCAACTTCCTTTCTAATGAATTAGACTAAATGGTTCCTGGGCTAGTTCATTTTTAGTGTATATTGAAATTAACTTGGTATAAGGCAGTAGATATAGCTTTTTTTTCAGTGTGTGTATTATAATAAAAAGCCACTATTTTAAATGACTATCAACGAATGAGGAACAATTGCATTTTAGCAAATGAAAATCATGATTTTTTAAAAGTATTATGAGGCCTTTTGTGTTATACATAGGTTTATAAAAATATGATAGTTATTTTCAATTTTTCACATTTTCATTGTAATTTTGATAGATATCACCTGATATTTACTTCAGTGTGCCTTTAGGAATTTTTATATGCTAACTTATGTACTATTGGGTACTAAGTTATAAGGTGTTTATCAACTTAATATTTTATTTTGAAATTATGTTTTAAATAGTTTATTCACGAAATTTTAGAGTATAGATTAATGGAGCTGCCTTATGTGATACTGTTTAGTTAATCTTTATATAAAGTATATGCTTAAATATTGTGTCTACTTGCCACAAAGAATGCTAAAGCTTTAGATTCGAAAATATAAAAGGGGCCTTGGAGATTCAGTATAATCCCCTAATTTTTCAGTCTCTATGATTTGCTATACTTTTGTAACTGTTACAGTGGTATGCTTTAAAATCATGCTTTTCTAAGTTTTTGCTCACATGCATCCCAAAATAATTTCGAAAAACTGTATATTCCTCACATTTTTAAGATGATTTCTAAAAAAAGTTATGTATAAATATTGCAAAGAATATAATTTCTGATACACTATAGATAATATTTTAGAATGAAACTTCTTTATTACTCTTTTGTATATAGTCAGTGGACTTTAAATACCTTAGTGATTTGAGACCCACTATCACCTATTCAAAAATATATATGTAAACAGTTATAAATTTTATAGCATTTTGTTTCTCCTTGAATTTTTGTTACCATTTTATGTCCTTAAAAGAATTTTATAATAATGGAATATATTTGTGTTATGTTTTTAACTGATCATCTGTTATACTTCTTGGCAATAAAATATGCATATAAATTAAAATTTTTTATTTCCTAGGAATGTAATATTTAGCATTTAAATGTTTCTTTTGGATGGAGTTTTTATAATTTTTACTAGGACAAAGTGAATCAAAATAATTCTGTTTTCAAATTTTGATACATGTATAATCAAAGAAGCAATATTTTATTTGAAATACATATGTTAATGAAATGATCGGAGCTCTTAGTTTATGGGTAAATAGCATTTAGCATAAAACATTCTATTCCTATTTTTCATCATTATAATATACATATTAATGTTAAATGTTAAAACACAAGTTCTGTTACAGCATTTCAGTCAATTTTTTGAATACCTTCAGAATTGTATTCCAAAAATTACATAATAATTTATCATCAAAAATTGTTTTTAATCTATTAATTGTCAGCTTTATTAGCTAATCCCTACATTTTATTAAAGCAAAGAATTAGAAAATATGATGTTTATGAAAGGATTTGCTAACCAGTAATTAGAGTCATTATTTTTGTTAACATTACCACAAACATTTGTAATCGACTCCTTATTCATTGCCCTAGAGTTTTCTAGTACCCTTGGGAAAGCACTGTAGTAAGATTCTAGATAGGTGAAAGGTGGCCTTTTATTGGTCAAGAGGGAGAATGGTAAGTGGGAAAGAAGAATTAGTATGACATCAGGGCTCGAAGAGATTATAGCAGCTAATAAATAGAAATGCTAGGCTTCAAACACAGGGAATCTGACTCTAAAATCTGTTCTTAACTATTATTTTGCCTTAGTATTATATTAGTCAGTCTTCAGTAATAGGGCCCAATTCCATTTTGCCCCTAAGAGGCAGAGTCTCATTGGGAAATACTGTGTTTCATACTTATTGGAATACTGCACTATGAGTAAAGCCAGCAGTTTGTGTTAATTGCTCTTATCTCAGTGATTTAAGCAGTAAAAGTCTATATCTTGCTGTTGGTTGATAGGGTAGAAGGTGGGGCTCTGTTCCTTATGGCAATTCAGGGACCCAGGCTCTTTTCCATCAATGGGATTCTTAACCCTTGGAATCCACCACTGAATTCTCTGTATCCAGCTGGAGATAGAGTATATAGAAGATCACGTGAGATATTATAAGCCTGGAAGTAGTTAACACCTTGTATTTCTTTGTTTACAATTCAGTCACACACACCAGTTTTAACTCAAGGGAAATGTAGTTTAGTTGTTTACCAAAGAGGAAGAAGAAATGGGTTTGGTAAACAACTAGCTAGCGTCTGCCACAGAGAACAAATTTTATATTTGGAAGGGCTTTCAGATTTTGCGTAGATAGGAGTAACGTCTTATATAGCTATTATATCAGTACAGCGGAATATACCTTTCAAAATAATCATATTGAAATGACTGTTTCTTTCTGGACCTGCTACCTATAGACAGAAATCTTTTGTCTTGATCAGGAGCTGGGTTTTTAGAACAGTATGCTTTTGACTAACAGCACGATTTTCAAGGTAGTTATATTTTTCTTTCTACACAGCAGTGCCATGTCCAGACAGAAATTACTGTGCAGCCTTATGCTTTTGTACTTCTTTTGGTATTGTTACAATGCTCCATCAAGGCTGTAGTAATGTCAGCTTTTTGGTGCTGTGGACCAGGAACCATGCTGCGGGCAGGCTCTCTGTTAGCTCTCTGATCAGAAAGCTTATCAGTCCTTTTGATGATCCCTTTTAATGAATATTGCTGATCTCTTACATTGTTTACCTATATCTTCTGCTTTGATGTTAAAGCTAATTACTAATCTTCAAAGTATTTAAGGATACAGATTGAAGTATTTTTTTATTTGTTCATCATAGAGGCAAAATGAAAAAGTATTTTGTATCTCTTCTGTGTGAAAAGCTTGCCATATCCATCTAGATAGAAGCTATTGGGAAACTATTGTTTCCATAGTCCAGTTTTCTTGGATGCTGTCCTGGCTTCATTTCTTGGACTGCTTATAACTTCAACTAGTAGTTTTGTTTTTTTTGAGAATTTTCAATTGTAAAATTAGTGTAGCAAGTTGTATAAGGTACGTTATATATATTAGAAGACTTTTACAATGTTATTAATGACTTTTTTTTTTTACCAGATTGCATACTATGATAATTTCCTAAACACTCTGTATACCTTTGATGCTCTTTGAAATTTCCCATGTTTATTTCCATTAAATTACTATATTAAAATTTAAAAATAATTTGTAGGTCTGATGTGGCTCCTTCACAATACATTTGAATGAAAAATACTCTGAATCGCAAAAATTGAATCAAGAATTGAAGACATGTTTTAAAATAATTTCACTTAATTCTCCACAGATGGTACTTCCTTAAAAGAGACAGCAGGACCCAGCAGACAGATTTTACAAGGTATGACAAGGAATTTGTATATTTCTCAGTTTTATGAAACTGGTTTCTTAGTTTTGAGCTATCTGAAATTTTTGTTTGAGAAAAATACATAACATAATATTTGTGTTTAAAATGTTAGCCTTCCTAGTGATTTTTTTAAAATATGCACTATTCGGTATATTAGCAGACATTTTAATTTAATTGTCACTTGGCTGTTTTCTCAGATTTCATAAGATTAAAATATTCAGAAACTATACTGCTTAAATATAAGTAATACCCATCTTGATGACTATAGTAACACCATAGAAGTATGTTTACCTTTGTGGATTGTTAAATAATTTTTCCCAGAATAATATACAATCTGTATTTATGTTGTGGAAGAATTTAGTGCTAAAAATGTGGTACACCCAAACCCAAAGAATGTACAACAGACATTAAACATGGACCCTAGTGTAAACTGTAGACTTAGGGTAATATTGTTTCATCAGTTCTGGCAAATGCACACTCTGATGGGGGAGGTTGACAAAGGAGGAGGCTCGCATTGTGTGGGGGCAGAAGAGATATGCGAAGTCTCTGTATCTTCTGCTCAATTTTGCTGTGAACCTAAAACTGCTCTCAAAAATAGTCCATTATATTTTTTTAAATGTAATGTACAGTGAGACCCCAGTTGTATCCATAGGCCACAATTGCTGATACCTAAAAAGGAGCTTACATATGTCAAATGATAAATTAAAAAATTTTACAAGCCAGAGAAAACAAGTCTTGTATGAACTATGGTAGTTCCTTTTTGGAACTGTGAATCTCTTTGGCTCTGTATTTCAATTTAGATTTCATTGTCCAAGTTTTCCGATTCCCCATTGCCCATCTTCCTGCCCTTATTTTTTGACTTTAATCTGACTTTCCCAGTAGCTTGTGATCCAATCTCTACTGCACCTATTTTTCTCCACTATGTCTTGATAAAGCTCTTGCTTTTTATATTTGCAGTGTGAATATGTTCTACCATACCGAAGAGTTTATTTCAGGAGGTTTAAATGTGTCTTCTAGTCTCTTAGTTTTCCATTTGTGAAATACATAGAATTGTTTTAGAATAGCATTTGCTAAAAAAGCTTGTAATCATGCATATGTAATGTATCTATATCCAATTCCAAAAATTAGCCTTGATAATAAGAGTTTATTTTGGTTTTAGAAATCATCAAAATTTGAGGGAAAGGTTAGATTTGTCTTCCTAATTATCTTTTATATAAGCTGTTGTGAAAATTAGTTTATATTTTCTAAGTATCAGTATATGGTGGTTGATGTAGCCCAGTAGATAGCTGACGGACAGAGATAACTGCCTGGTACTAAAACTTTTCCATGTACATACTCACACATGAAAAACTGAGCTAACTGAATTTTGAAGTTATTTGCTGCATTTTTAATATGACCCTGGCTTTTTAGGTTCTTGGGCATTTCAAATATCAGTATTCTACCAAGTCATCTAAGGCTTTCAACTTTTATATAAATTAATCATATTAGTTTAGATTTCTTTCTTTGGTGATTTTTCTTCTTGAAACAGTTACTAGAAAATAAGAAGGGCTTAGATCGTTAATGACACTAGCTAATAAAACCAGTTTTTAGGTCAGCAAGTAAGATGTAGCTACGAACTTTCCAATTAAAAGAGAATCAAGAATAAATTTTTCTTTTCTTTTTTCTTTCAGTGTTTAGATTCTACCAAAACATTGATTAAAAAATATAAAGGTTTAAAATCACATATCATTTAAGAGTTTTGAAACTTGGGGTCCCTCAATCCACTTTGATATGTATGTTTTTCTAGTTTTGCAGTTTTATTTTTAAAACTTAAAGTGGTCTCAACACTTATTCTTTACTATTTAAATACCCTCAAGAAAAATATTTTTTCTATAATATTTAATGAATAATAATAAAGAAAAATAAGTGTCTCTGAAGACTCTTGACATATTAGGTATTTCTTTTTCAGACAGAGTAGTTGATGCTATTGAAGAATGTTCTATGTTTGGCAATGTATGGTTGAAGTTTGTTTAAGAGACTGTTTTGCTACACAGTAAATTTTACCCGTTAAAGATCTAAACATTGAATAATTTGTCTAGTTAAACTTTTTAAAAAAATAATGCATATCAGACTTTCTTCTTGGCATTTTTTAATGGTTTTCCCATCAAGTCTCAATTCTTAAATGTTAATATTATATCTAGGTTCTTGGGCAGTTAGAATATCAATATTCTACCAATTTAATATTTAATTATTAAAAATTCAAAATATAGTCACATTCACTTTAAAATATTAAAATTCCTACCTTCTCTTATATCACGTTTGAACTTCGTATGTAACTTGAGGTAACACAATCTTCAGGAATAGCAGTAAGTATATCATCAGTATGAATAGAGTTATGGTCCATAGGAAATTCGTTTCAAAGGTAATTTTAACCAGCAGAGGGCTCTGTATGTTCATACTACACATATTCATAGTTATAAATAATGTTTTCTTGACAGATTCTTTTGGCCTAATGCAGTGTTCTTCTAACAAATTATTAATTAACTTTGGGGCTCTTTTAACCAGAGATGAATATGCACAAACAATTTAAAAATCAGTTTACTGCTCTTCCTCAATTTATGTTACACCAAAACATTAAGGATCATTAAGAGCAAGTATAAAGTCTGCATCAGATATTTTAACCCCTGCTGATTTGAAAAAGGAAAGATTATTTCAATTCTCAAAGACTATACTTATTTACTAAGCAGCAACTCTTTTTCTTACTGATTTTCAAACTGGTGTTTGGTTTTTAACATATAAAATCAAGAATAGTTTTAAGAAATATTTGTATTTTCAGTTGATCAGAAGATGTTATTTTGATTCTGATTATGCTTTATTTCTAGGCGTATTTTTACACATTCTAGCAGATACACTGGGGAGTATTGGTGTAATTGCCTCTGCCATCATGATGCAGAATTTTGGTCTGATGATAGCAGATCCTATTTGTTCAATCCTGATAGCTATGCTCATAGTTGTAAGGTAAGTGTTGATATGTTACTTTCCATTATGAAAATGATAATTTACTTAAATTACAGATCTAAATTATTAAGTTGGTTTTTCTTTGGTCTTTAACACATTCCTACATAGATTATTTCTCTTTTCATCTTGCTATTTTCTATACTTGCCTAGGGTTTGATGTTTCCTTTTGGTATTTAGCAGTTAATCTTTTTGGTCTGTAATTCAAATCAGTAGTAATTTTCTTGAATTTAGTACCATATCTGTAGAGTAGAACATTGGAAATATAAAATATACTAACTATAGTTAGAATTTTCTTCCTTTGGCATTTACCAAATGTGAAAGAATATTAAAATCTCTTCTAGAACTATGTAAAAAATCTATAGAGTCACATTATTATTGTGGAACTCTTGTAAAAATGCTTATTGAGGTGTACTTATGTCTGTCTCTCTATCTAGATTATAAATTCTTGAGGAAGGATTTGTCTCTTAGCTTTTTAGCTCTCTATTGCCTACTATAGTGCCAGTGTATATGTAAAAAGTGTATGTGTGTGTGCGTGCATAAATTCTCAAATTATTGCTGAATTAGATTGTATAGTTGTTATCTCTTAAATTTATGTCAGTTTATTGTTTTAATTTTTATCAGAATAATCGAACGTGTGCCTTTATTTCACAGTCTTGAATTATTTATAAAGATATGTCTTGATTGGACTGTTTTTGTTTTATTTATCCATATGATTTTACTGTTAGTAAAATTTTCTTTGTAGTGATAACAAGACTTGAGAGGGCTGATTATTCTAGTCAACTATAGTTAAACAGAATAGACTTACTAAATTACAATGACATTATAATCTTATAAATTAGTCATAAATGCAGATTTTTAAGTTTTTGCTTAAAATAGGATTACATTTTAAATATGTAGATTTTTTTAACTAAAAAAAGTTATTTGTACCAAGAAGCCACTCTTCTATGTAAAAGTTTTTTATAAAGCTTGGAATGCTTTTTCTTCATCTTTGAAAATCTTGTACTTCCTTGTAAGTTCAGCTTAAATGTCACACCTTTTATGAAACTTAATTCCTGAGGTTTGGTAACTTACATGGGTTCTCTTTTTTTTTTAATTTCTTTTTTCCTTTTTTTCTTTTTTTCTTTTTTATGGTGACATCGGTTAACGAAATCCAGTTACATATGTACCTCTTTATCTGCATGTTCAGCGTTCGTTTTATTTGGTTTTGTATTATAATTCTTTGTTGCTTCTAGTACTTCTTAGAGTAGAATCTTAATGATCCCTTTTCTTTGTCTCCCTCCACTGTTGTTATCCTAATTCTTGTGTCATTTGCTGCTTGGAAGAGGTTGGTGTCCTTGTTCCTCCAAACTCTTCTCTATACTGTGGCCAAAATGATCTTTCTTGAGGATTATGGTACATGTGACAACTGTCTTGCCTCAAATCCTTCAGTGCCTCTTTCTTACCCTCAAGATAAAGTCTGAACTCCTTAGTGGGGCTTCATTTTGTTCCCTGTTCACTTCAGTATTTCTTTCACCCTTTGTCAATTTATATTCTGCTCTCCAGCTACTGTAAATTACTTTCAGTTGCCTGAAAATGTGTTGTGAACCCTCTGGATTCTGGGCTTTGTTCATATTTCTTCTCTCCATAGTAAAATACTCTTATATGGAGTGCCTTTCTCCCTTCCCCATGTCCTCCACAAGTGCATGGAACACAATTATTTGTGCTTCAGATTAGATTTCAGTTTAAATGGCACTTGCTTCAGGGAGCATTGTCTGATTTTCCACATCTCAGGCTGCATTAAGTGCGCAGACAGCACCAACACTACAACTCTCACGGCGTTTGCTTTCTGTGTTGAAATAGCCTGTCTCGTCTCTCTTAAGCTCCATGGGGGCAAACTGGTTTTTCAATGTTGTAAAGTCTGCCCTTAACTCTGCCAGACAAAATATTGGTACCTTTTGGATTTGCATCAATAAATTCATGTTTTTCAATCTCAGAAACTTATTTCTCTAATCCCAAATAGGGAATTCTTACTTCTGTTCCCATTCAGTTATTCCACAAATATAAATACATGCATGCATACACACACAGAGAAAACTTTTTTTACTGAAATATAACTGCACAATTTATTTTCAACAAATATTTATTCAGTAGACCCTCTTACCAGGGTGGTGATAAGACAGGATGCTCAGTGGTTTGAATTTATATTATATAGCAAGAGAGAGCAAGCACATATTGTTTTAGGAGCCTTGTGAAAGATTTTCAAACGGTAAGCAATAATCAAACCTGCTAAAGGCAGCAGGGACTGATAATTGATATCTTAGATAAGACACTCAGAAAAATGTTGAGAATGAAAGTCTGATCAAAGTAGCTTCAAAAGAGGACTGGGAGGAGAAGAAATGGCGACAGCAACTGTAGTCAACTCCTTTTCAAGGCCTTTTGCTGTAAAGAGAGCGGCGTGCTTGCCTGACAACACTGAGGGCCCACTTTGAAGTTTGTGGTCATGAATTTAAAGTGAAAACAACCAGCACAATTGTATGGTTTTTTTTTCGAGTCTTGTTCAGCTTTTGGTAAAGGTATGGAATAGAGAGTTGGTTTTAACAGGTTTGGGATTTAGCGGGTGAGTACTGACAAAGAAGGAAAGGAGCAAGGCAGGATTACAGTGGTGGGAAATTAAGATTTAAAGGTAAGGATTGATGCTAAAAAAAAAGAAAAATGATAGAGTTAGTGGATTGGATTTCTGGGAAAAGTGTTAGAGTGGAAGGGTTAGGGGCAGAGATCTAGAAGTAGGAAGGGTTGTTCACCTGTTACATACTTAAAATTGAGATATTTAAGGTCTAAAATAGATCCCAGAAGTGAATATAGGATAAGATCATCCTATAGAGGCCAAGTGTTGGATGGATTGTCCACATAGGTCTTTAAATTAAGAGTAACGAGAAAGGCAGAGGTAGAAAGATAGTAAGTCCATTGCCAAACCCTACAAGTGACTGAAGGGGAGCTATCAAGAACTGTTGACACTGGTCCTCAGGGCGGGTGGGGGGTGGAATAACCTGACTGCTGGGCCTTAACAGGAGCTGTGTTTTAGGGGAAGTAAGAAGAACAACGATCTGGGAACACTTGTGTTAAGCAGGGAGGACATTTACCTCACTGCAAGCCCCAGTAGTATGTGGAGTTTCAGGTAGATCATGCAAGTGCTATGGCAATTCGAAAAGATACTGAGGATTTAATGAAAATTGCAACCTTTTTTTAAAAATTATGGAAATCATTGTTGACAAAGAAACTTGACAGTCTATAGAAAAGATAAGGAAAAAAATTACCTATAGTTCTACCAGCCGAGAGAACCATATGTGTGTTATTGTAGATTCAAGGTTCCGCGGTAAGTGGTACGAGGCTCAGGCAGTTGGAAGAAAATGCGGGGAGCCGTAGGCAGCTGCGACATAGCTCTTTATTCCAGCAGGGGCACAGCCAGCCTCGCAGGGTGGCGGCGCCTTTTACACAGAGGTTAAACGACTGTAGCACACTGCCAGACGATGGAAGCCCGCGCATGCGTACCGGGCACATGGGTACATGAGGGGAGAAGTGCTGAGTCACTTCCATCCTGAAGCTGCTGAGGGTGTTGAGGGAGCCTGACTGCAGCCATCTTTCTCCGCACACCATGTCAATATTTTTGTGGTGTTCTTTTGGCTTTTTTCTTTAATTCTGAGAGTCTTTTTTTTTACAGTATTTTTGTTTCTGTTACGTATACAAAGTTATATTCTCAGTAAGAAAACTTCTTTAGCTTTTTTCTGATTCTGAATGTATGGTGATTATAGAAAACTTGGAAAATGATGCAAAGTATAAAAAAATGAAGAAAAATCAATCAGGATCACAATACCTAGAGGTCACATTACAACTGTTAACAGTATTTCTTTAGTCATTTTTAGGCTTTTTTTTCCATTATTGAATTTCTGCTATATGTGCTGATCGTTAGCTTAGTCAGCATTAGAGTATTCATAGGTTCTAGATGAAAAATAGTAGTAACTACTTTAAGTCAATAAAGTTTTGGGATGATTTATAAGGTAGCAAGGCCTTAATTCAATGACAATAAATGACAACAAGGTACAGGGCAACACATAAGAATGACTCATTATTGTAATGAGTCCATATCTAATGTATATATTTCTCTTTACATGGATGAAGGGGAAAATATACTCGTGTGTGTGTGTGCGTCTGTCTGTCTGTCTATCTGAATGTTATGTGGCTCTCTGGGTGTTGTAATTTTTAAATTATGGTTCTTTCCTAATGTCACTAAGATAAATCAACATTTCTGACTTTGGCTTAAAAAAGCATAATATTTTTTAAATGGAGGGCAATAAAAAAATTTTAGCTTCGAAGTACAAAATAAAGACATCCCAGTTGTCTATTTTTCTGTTAAGAAAGCACACTTAATTTACTTAAACGTTCACATGATAATGAAATATTTGCAAGGAGATCAGTCTGAGATGTTTTTCAAATTGGTTAAGAGTTTGCCTGATTAGCTAAAGCTGATCTTAGGAAATGGATGAAAACTCTTACAGCCGCAATAAAATCGAGTATAAAGAAGTAATTTGACCTTACCCTTAATTTTTATATATATTTGCAATTCATCAAGAGCGAGAGGAATAATGGGACTCTTTATATATTCTTTGTACTTAAATGTTCCTCAGCTGAGAACGTGCCATGGAAATAGATGTCCCGTTTCTCCTTTCTAGGCTGCATGCCCAGTGTTCCATTTTCACTTTCACAGTGAAAGTGGTTTCTTAGAAAAAGACTGTTTTTCTTTCAACACAGGCAAATTTTTTAACACAGCAAATGGTGATACAAATTTTGGGGTAAAACCGGGTTGTACTGTGATAAATTTTGTTTCCCAATGAAAAGCAGCAGATTGAGTATAACGATGAGAATGTAATTTTTATCTTCTAAAAAAATATATTTCTTAGGAGAGATTTTAGAGTGGTTTTGCTTCTGTTTTCCCATTAGTAGTTGCATTGGAATGGAAAGTAGAT